TAGGAAAGAGTGACTCTGTAATACTTAAGCTAAATACTGTCTGCTACAGGAACAACTCTCCGTAAGTAAGGAAAGAAAAGGAAATTACAACTCTAAGAGAGGTAATTATAGAAGCCGTAAAGATTTCTTTGGTGGCATAAACTGGGAAACCTTGATATACAATATTGAAAAGTCTTATAAATGGAGAAAAAAAAACAAGATTCAAAACTGATGCAAGAAATGGCCAAAAGTGGTTCAATAATAAATGCAAGAAAATTAGAGAAAACGAAGAGGTTCTTTGGAGAAAGCTCAGAAGACATAGACATCAGGCAGCATATGGAAGGTATAAAGAAGAAAAAATGAGTTTCCCAAACTGTGAGAGAGGCGAAGTTAGACACTGAAAGGGATAAAATCAAGAAATGTACAAATCAACCAAAGCTGCATAAATAGTAAGAATAAAAATAGATATCAAATTAGTAACATCAAAGACCAGAACATTGTCTATACCAAGGAGGAGGAAATGTGTGAAATCCTTAGTGAGAAATTTCAGTATGTGTTTGTTCGGGACCCATACTTTGAAACTGCAAATAACCATGCAAAGATAAATCAGAAAATCAACCTCAAAGAGAATTAAAGACCTACAAAAAGGGTTGAACAAGACTAAGGCAGGGGGGGGGGGGGTTGAGATGAGATTCCTAACAGGGTTCTTAGGGAATGTGCCGAGGAACTATGTACTCCGATATTATTAATAGTCCAAAATTCAGTGAGACAAAGGACAGTGCCAAAATCACCTTTACATAAGAGTGGTGACAAACACAACCCTCCAAATTATAGTCTAGTTTCGTTAACAAGAATAGTATGTAAGTTGTTAGAAAGGACCTGGTGCAATGTAAATAGATATGTCGAAATCTGAAAATGGTGTGGGCTGTGCAACAGTGAGCAGGAGGAAGATTACATTTGGCAGTCTTTCTTTGGCAGCCTCGGTCTTCACCATTCTCGATCTTCAAACCATTCTACTGTAATATGTTGCAACTCTCGTAGTGCCTTGCAAGCAATCCAGAACTTAAACTCATCAATCCATTGGCAAGGGAGGTTCAAGATTGGCTTGCACTGATGTTAGCACGTAAAAAAGATATCTGTGTTGGGTGCCAGCGGGAAAGAGCGAACAGATCGGAAGGCAGCTGCCGCTCAGCTCTGTGATGCTCGTTTTCCTCTTCCACACACCGACTTGAAACCCAGCATCAGAAGTTGTCTTCGCGATAAATGGAGGGAGCAGTTGAGAGATACCTCTAGAAACTGCGAGAGATTAGAGATGACCTTGGTAGTTAGGTGACCAGTGTCCATGATTGCTAAAAGTGAAGCACACTGTGAGGGATGTGTATAAGAATTTGTCAAAACAGTTACAATAATTAAACAAATGGCACCGAGGAAACGAAGAGGAATAAGTGAGTATAAGTGAGAGAGACAAAAAAAAGCGTAGTTAATACAGGAGAACAGAATCGAAGCAAGGTCAGGGAAGGTCGATGGGTCAGTAGTCAGCGCAAGGACGGTACTGGGGATCACAAATATGGAGGGCACAGAGGAACAGAGAAATGACAACACATGTAGTGGATGGTATGAGAAGAAATACATGTATATTCAACTGTGCATAGGTTTCCTCTGTGCAAGTAAGAGGTCAGCAGAGCGATGAACAAGGGTAGCCAAGGGGAGCTGTTGTCATGCTCCCATTTCCATCTGGAAATCCGAGAAAGGTGCAGGGTTATGAGGACAGATGTCGTTAACATATCTCAGCCAAACAATATAATGTTTATATATATATATATATATATATATATATATATATATATATATATATATATATATATATGTACATATATATATATGTATATACATATATATATATATATATATATATATATATATATATATATATATATATATATATATATATATATATGTACATATATGTATATATATATATATATATATATATATATATATATATATATATATATATATATATATATATGTACATATATATATATATATATATATATATATATATATATATATATATATATATATATACATATATATATATATATATATATATATATATATATATATATATATATATATATATATATATGTATATATATATATATATATATATATATATATATATATATATATATATATATATATATATATATATATATAGGCATATATTTATTTATTTATTTACTACACACACATACATATCTGTATATGTGTATTTATATATTCATATCCTCTCTTACAGTTTCTAAGCGCGACCACAGCGACTCCGACGCCCTTGTCATAGTGTTCATGAGCCATGGCGAAGTAAAACCCAGGAATAACATGGAATATGTGTGGGTCAAAGACGACAAGATTCCTACCAAGGAACTGTGGATAAACTTTACGGCTGAACGGTGCGCAGGTCTGGCCGGCAAACCTAAGCTGTACTTCATTCAGGTAATTTCTTCCCTCCGATAGCGTTGGACCTACTGCCGTAACTTTTAAAGGCAGAATTCACAGTATCAACTTCCACGACAGGCATGCAGGGGCCTCGACGTGGATAAGGGCGTGAACATGTCTCGGGCATTGCGTGGCATGGCGGTTCAGACGGACAGCATTGACAGCACTGAGGAGTACGTGATCCCCATCCATGCTGACCAGCTTGTTATGTGGGCGTCCTACCCAGGTAAGTTCAGTCATTAAATGTTCACTGTCTCATGATTCTTCCACTGAATCCACGCCCTGTATTCTTGGTATATTCTTTGTCACACTTTTCATGTTAGAAATATCGAGGTCCTTCTATCACCAGAAATTTTCGCCACCTTTCTATAAATGTGCACGTGATCAAAATATAGCATCAAAACACATGAAATGCATCTCTTGCTCTCTATCAATTCTCTTGCTAACATTTTCTGCAATTGTCGCAAGATACTACTGTTTCGGTCAGTGAGTGCTCGCGCAATGCATTGGCGTTCTCCTACATACTTGATATATTAAGCCAGTCCTCCGTCTTTAAGATTATCACTTGCACTCGTCTTGTTTTTTTTATTATTATTATTAATATTTTTTGTAATGAATGAAATAGCCTTCTACCTGTTTGTGTAACCATATGGCCGTGTCGTCGCATCAACTCGTGCTTATCCCATGAGGAAAATGAGTTTGACAGCCCTGTCCTATACTATAACATAGTACAAAGGTTTGTGTTTGTTGAAGGATCTTACCTGTATTTCTGATGAAATCATATCAAGATGTACATATTTGATAAGCATTTAGTAAAATATGGAAGAAACTATTTAGATACTTTAAGATATAGTTTGCTGGTGGAGGCATGCAAGATATTTATATCCTGGAACAGTACTGTTTGAATATTTGTATGGGCCTGATTAGTAAGTAACAAGCCAGTCATTTACGTGTGCTAAATGTTGCGGCTGGGATATTATTGTTGTGAATTAATGAAAGCGTTAGAATTCACTACTGCGCCTCCTCTTGAGATTTCTCCTTCCGTTCATGCCCCCCTGTACGGGTTTTCTTTTAATTGGTCTAAATAATTTTCTGATGTCTTATCAGTTTAATTTGGAGGTAGACGGATAACAGTTTTTTATACATTCAGTTTATTCAATATATATATATTACAAAACCCATAACCATGCATAAATAAGAAAATATTGGTTTGGTTAACAACAATCACATGGATGACAAGCACTTGAAATACTGCTTGATAAAGAAGGGACGTAACGCATAAGCACTGCAGTTCTTGGTTTTAGGTCCCCAGGTATCACATGCACAACAAAAAGGCTGAAAATGATATGAAAATTAATACCACTATCACAATGGGCAATGTAAAAAGAAATACAAAAAAAAAGCAAATACACGTAAATAACTCACGAGCAGATGCAAGGTACTGCTAACGTAAGCAGAGTCAGTGGCAAAATGACCGACCACCTACTTTACAGGTGACAGGTAAGGGTATACCGCCTCACATGCGCTTTACATTTGAGGGAGAGCGAGTATAAATAACTCGCTTTCAAGAATATAGACACAATATATATATATATTACACATTTTTAGTCATGCTTGTTTATAACCAAAGACATATTACCATATGCAATTTACGAAAACACTTTACACCCCCACTGTGCATTTATGTATAAAAGTACCACCCAGATTTTAAAGAAAATTAAAAATATGTTCTTATTTCTTATTGAGTATAAATTAGTAACGTTTCTCATTACTTGACCATGCTTTCGTTAAGAGAATAACAAACATAATTTGAGAAATTCCTGCTTTTCTCACGGCTTGCATCCCCTTGGAAATTACGGACACTCCCTAGTTTAAGAAGCCAGTACTGTTCCTTTAGTTTTATGAACGTGTTTATTCATATATGTATGTGTATTTCGCACGTGTCCTTTTCTTTAAAGCATCTCTCCCCTCAGTCTCTTTCTCTTCTCTTTTTTTTTTTTTGTTTGTTTTGTTTCCTTTCTTGTCTCTTCATATTTTAGTCGCTCTCGCTTTTATCACAGGCTTTCCAGCTTTCAAGAGTAAGCGCAAGGGAATCCAAGGGAGTGTCTTCATCCACTACCTGGCTGAGAACCTCAAGAATTATGCCAACGCTTCTCCACGACCAAGTCTGTCTTCCATTCTGCTCAAAGTCAGCAGGGAAGTGGCAGTCCTCTACGAAAGCGATACTTATGACAGATATAACGAAAATAAACAAGTTCCTTACATCCACTCGACGCTACTCCGTGAGATTTACTTCTAAGTGTATGCCTTCTTGACAGCGTGAGACATTCGGCATTACTCCCTCTGTGTTTCTCCTCATCCTTTCAGTGATTTTAAAGGATCGATAATCTCTGCTTCTTTGGTTTCTGATTGTTCGGTGCTTGTAAAATGTTATCAGTTGTTCTAATATTTGAAAGAAATTGTTGTCGTCAAGGTTATTGCCAGTACTATTATTAGCTACTAGATAAATGAGACTTGATCTATATTTTTTTTCTCGTGATCAAAAACAGCATTTTCCTCAATTTACTAAATTTTCGCTCATATTACAAGGTTGCTGATAGTACAAATTCAGACTGCTGAAGAGCATCAGATCAGCTCAAAACGTACCAAAAGTTATGAAAATCAAATCGTTTACTTGAGGCGCTTCATTTGCTAATGTCGATGACCATTTCTTGTCCATTTTATCCACTAGTTGTGGGGAAGATTGCCAACGTCTACATTTCACATCGAGTAACAGATTAGCTCTCCATTCCCAGGCTCTCCCATATGACCTTACTCTGCTGCCTGACATACACACACACACACGCACACACGCACACACACACACACACACACACGCACACACACACACACACACACACACACACACACACACACACACGCACACACACACACACACACACACACACACACACACACACACACACACACACACACACACACACACACACACACACACACACACACACACACACACACACACACACACACACACACACACACACACACACACACACACACACACACACACACACACACACACACACACACACACACACACACACACACACACACACACACACACACACACACACACACACACACACACACACACATACACATACACACACACACACACACACACACACACACACATACACATACACACACACACACACACACACATACACATACACACACACACACACACACACATACACATACACACACACACACACACACACATACACATACACACACACACACACACACACATACACATACACACACACACACACACACACACACACACACACACATACACATACACACACACACACACACACACACACACACACACACGCACACACATACACGGGCGTAACAATGGGCAACGCTAACTAAAATCAAGATCGAATAAAAAATTTTCATTTCAACTACGGGGAAATGTGATACATTACTGCAACTGAAAGAATGACCGCGACGTGAGAAGGCTTCCTCCCTCCGGACCACATGCGCGTCCTATCGTGCTTCCTTCGTCCTACACTATGTAGGATACATTTCGTTAAGAAATTATCTCCGTATCGTTGTGCAACAGGGCAAGAACACGTAATGGACTAGCAGAAGCATAGAAAAATCGCGACTGCATCATGGCAGTCGAATACAATGGATCATACAACAAATGTGTCCATCTTGGAACAAGTTATAAACTCAGGTAGCTGGTAGAAAAAGCTAAGAGTGATATATAAAGCTTTTACAGATCGCTGGGGGCACAGAAAAGCTCTGCCATGGGTACCTTTCCAACCAAAGAAGTATTTCTTTGATGACCATTAAAGAAGTGACCGGATAAAACTCCTTTAATAAAAGGACACCGGCCTATGGAGAATAGCGAATAGGGTTTGGAGAGCTATAGCGATGTTCATTTGGTTGGTTCACCCGTTTTGAAGTTATTTTATTCCCCATCTTTTTGAGATACAATGGCTAGGGACGAGCTGTGGTTAGTAAGGACTTACTATTAAGTTTATCTGTTTAGGATTGTATGTAACTATGTAATGGAACAACTCATGTACTAGATATCGTAATGTTTGAAGGATCATTAGAGAGCGTTAAGCAGTGGTGAAGTCTATTAAAGTATGTGCTAACTAGCTTTTTATTGAGGTGTATAATTTATTTATTCACTAAGATTGTTGATATACTTTTATATTTGTTTCATATAGCTTTGGTAACGGACTTTTCCTATTATTTTCTTGACATGTAAACCATTTATGCACAAAAATGTATACTTTAATCTTTTGATTTATTATTTGTTTGTGAGAATAATTCTATCAATGTGTTAGTATGTGATTTAGCCACTACAAGTAATACATATGTCTTATATCTGACTAGCTACTTAAAGTTTAGTACATTTTGATTTTTTTTCATAATTTTAGTATTTGCTTCATTGTATTGAGTATTTAGTTATAAGTTATCAATTCAAAACTGACTCATGAAAGTTCACTGCAGTTTGGTTTATCGTTGTGTTGTAAAAAAATGATATGTATTCCTGGCACACGAATTCATGTGATTGGCATTGCACTGGTTATCTTTTTTACTTATTGATATTAAAAGTCATCTTTTATAGAGCTAACTTATAATTCAGCTATAAGTAAATGACAAGAACACAGTACATCGTGATTTATTGATTGAATTTTGGCATTTATTCCGGCATCAGCATAGACCAGTGGCACCTGTTCCATGCCCACTGAACATCCGTAGTATCAGAGTAATTTTCACTCAGAGAGGGGCTGGGTAACCACTGTAGAACCTGATGAATATAATATAGAGAAGGCAATATAACTTGTATAACCAATACTTTTCACTAACTTATGTGAAGAAGCAGGATGATGGCTTAGAGAAGAGTGAAACTAGTGATCACGTGGCAGAACTGTGCATCATGCCCAAATTATGATATTTCACACCAGGTGATACAATGTAGGCAAATAA